ACAATTTGTTATGCTGATCATAATGTGGCAATGAAAGTCAAATGAAAGGAGATCTTATGCTGGTATTGTTACTATAAGGCATATGAGGATTGAATCAGGTATTTCAGGTCCGTAAACAATATTGATAACCAATCAGTAAGAATAATGATATATAATGAGATCAAAGCCTTTCTTCCCAAAATTTTTGATGTAAATTTGCGTCAGAAAATGTCTAGAGCAAAAAAAATTTATACATTATTTGATCAAATCTTATCAAATATAAATTTGAATTTGTATTTGATTTGATTTTCAAATCAAATATTTAAATATCAAATTAAATTGCAGAATCTTACTTGCAGATTTCTACTTACAATTTTATAACAATCAATTAGTGCTGATAATATTCTTGATAAAGATTTATAGTCTCTTCTTATTGATGGCATATAAGACATATAGGAGTCAGTCAGTAGAAAAGGGGAAATCCAAAATTTTTGTTAATTTTAATTATTAAGCTAATTTTGTGCACATGACCGAGATCAGCCAAGTGGTTCAATAATATAAATTTTGACCAAATTTTGGATTTCCACTTTTCTACTGACTGCCTTTTATATCGTTACATATAATATTCTTTACATTTATCAATATAATTAAAGGCATAGTGCTTCAATTTTTATATTATAAAGTTAATATATTAATTAAGTCTAAACAAATTACTAACTCAATCATATTCTTAGTATATCATCACATATATGATAGTATTAAAAAGATCTGAAACAATAGATGAATATTACTTAATACTTTTAAAACAAACCACTATCTCCTTTACTTGAAAGAAAAGCAACTAGTATATCTCAGGATTTTTAAAATTAACCATTAAATATTCCATTGATATTCCTTCACAATTTGGCAATATATTTCGTTATGATATCTCCTAGTTGAAATTTTGGATTGGTAGTGACTGAACCTCCCTCCCAGATTATTAAAGTTATTTGTTTTCATAGGTAATTAGTCTAGAAATATACAAGATCAGTTTTGATTTAATTTAGTTTTTATTGACAATAATTTAGATTAGAGTAAATAGAAATTTTTATTTTTTTATATATTTGTTTTTGTATTATGATATAAATTTATCAATTTAATAAAGAATTAGTGAAACTATTACACTATTATTTTATGATACTAACAACTGAAAAATAATATTAATGCAAGATTAACAAAGGATTTAGCTTTAAAATTCTATATAATGAGAGTTTATAGAGAATTTTGAAGGTTTATACAATTAAAATATATTATGTAAGATAAAGTATAGATATAGGTTAAATGATTAGATTTTATTAAAAAAAGAATTTATTACAAGTGTATTTGTTAACATACAAATGTGTTTAATAATTATCTTATTATTAATAAAACTAAATATAAATTCTTTATAAAGATTTATTAATCCATCATTAATAATAAGTTTTAAAACTATTTTATTTATAAGAAATTTGATAATATAAAAATAATAAATATAAAAATAAATAATAAAATAAATTTTGGCATATTTGCTATTTCTCATATATTCAGTATATATGATATATTTAATATATCTGGTAGATTTAACATATTTTATATATCTGCTAGGATCAGCAGATTTGGCAGATTATATGGTAAAGTAAAAATTATATGATTTATTATATTAGATGACCTTTAATTACTTATTACAGTACATTTAAAAAAAATAAGAATATCCTAACCTTACATCTTACCCTACAAGTGTTCTTAATAAAGTTTAAGAAAGTAATTAACCAGAATTTAGTAAATTAGATCAATGGTAATTAGGATTTTGTAATTTGATTTGATATTTGAATATTTGATTTAAAAATTAATCAAATACAAATACAAATTTATATTTGATTTGATTCGATTAAATTCAAATCAAAGAATGATTTATTTGATCAAATCCAAATTAATGTTTGATTTGATTCGATCAAATTCAAATCAAGTATTTAAATATTTGATTTGATTTGAATCAATAGTAAAGCCATCTCCAAAGCTTTAGGAGTGCTTCTTACTAAGAAAACCATAGTAAAAAGCACTTCGATAGCTTCAGAAATGCCTTTTTTACTTAAGAAAACTATAGCAAAAAATGCTTTTGCGACTTCAGAAATGCTTTTTTACTAAGAAAACTATAGTAAAAATTGTTTTTGCAGCTTTGAAAATGCCTTTTTTACTAAGAAAACCATAGTAAAAAGTGCTTCCGCAGCTTCAGAAATGCTTTTTTACTAAGAAAAACATAGTAAAAAGTGCTTCCGCAGCTTTAGAAATGCTTTTTTACTAAAAAAAACATAGTAAAAAATGTCTTCACAGTTTCAGAAATGCTATTTTACTAAGAAAATATAGTAAAAATGCCTTTACGACTTTGAAGACATTTTTTACTAAGAAACTTAGTAAAAAATGCGTTCACAGCTTTGGAAACGTTTTTTTACTAATAAATTGTTACAAAGTCGAGATAGCGGTTACTACTAAGTTTTCTTAGTAAATCGAAGTCACAATAGCGATTATTACTAAATTTTTTTAGTAAAGCTGAAACTGCGATGATAGTTATTACTAAGTTTTCTTAGTAAAACTAAAGCTGCGATAGCGGTTATTACTAAGTTTTCTTAGTAAACTGAAGCTGCAATGGCAGTTATTACTAATTTTTCTTAGTAAACTGAAACTGCAATAGCGGTTATTACTAAGTTTTCTTAGTAAAATCGAAATCGCAGAATTATTTTACTAAGTTTAATAGTAAAAATTCACCTGTTACTAAACTTACTTTGTAAAAGCTATCTTTGAAATTTTTTAGTGCAATTACTAATAATTTTCTTAATTAAAACTTTTGAATAATTTATTTTAATATATCATTGTAAAATTAAAAAAATTTATATTCAATTCGATTTGATCAAATATTTGATTTGATTTGATTTGACAAATATTTGATTTAATTTGATTCAATTTGATCAAATTTAAATCGATTCAAATTAATTCGATTAAATATTTGAGTCGATTCTATTCAATTCGATTCGATTTAAAAAATCAAATCAAATTCAAATTGCTTAAATATTTGATTTGATTCAATTTTGAGAAACCCTAATGGTAATATAGACTGCATTGCATATTGCAGTATCATTTAATTGAGTGTATCACTAGGGGTAGAAGCCAGGTTTGATTCCTAAATTATTTGACAAAATAGGTATAATAATCACCTACTAGTATCATTTTAAAAGAACATATAGGATTTTTCTAGTAAGAACATTTATATAGATAATAATAACTAATATAGTATTAGTGAATGGTTACTTTGTCTAATACCTTAATGTAGATGGATATTAAGATTACAGAAGTTTTTATGAGATACACAAACTTTTATCTCATTAAGGTAGTAAGATTCTCTATAATAGATTTCTTAATTTCACATACTATAAAGAAAAAAATAAGAATATTCCTATTGATGACTTAGGGATAATCAGATTAGCAGCTGGTTATTAATAAATTGATATTAATAAAAATAATCCTATTGATATCTTTATAACATTCTGATTGGAATCCTAATGATCCTTTCTACAGTATTATTCATCATCAATCGGGATTACCTAATGCTAAAAAAATAGAGGACTAATTAGATTAAATCTGTTAATCCAGATTTGACATGATTGATTCCCTATTTGTTATCGTTCAACTAGTATAATTCATAGTTAAAATATTTAATAAGAAAAATTTGAAATTTAATTTATATAATCAATTTATAATATATGATATAAATATTATATATTGTATTTGATATATTAATTTAAATTTTTAGATTTATATTAAAAAATATCATTAAATTTAATTAAAATAAGGTAATATTAGTTTAAGAGTATTATTATATAAATAAATCTGAATAAAGTATATTTAAAATATAATATATAAATCTGAAATTTTAATTTTAATTATCAGAATTTTGATTATAAACTTCAAAATCATGTAATTATAAGTATTAATTAGGTTTAGAATTTTGAGTTTTGATATTTTTATACAGATTCTTATTAAATAATTATAAATTTATATATATATTAATAAAAAACAATAAAAATATTTTAGATTTCAATTACTTATAATAAATAGCATTTTATTTTAATATTATCTAATATTTATTGTTTAAAATTGATAATACTATAACTAATAACTACTAATAATTTAAGTTAGTAAGTAAATTAGTTAGTTAATAATTACCAATTTATATATCTAATTATTTTAGTGATTTAAAATTTGCAAGTAAATTTACCTTTCTAATAATTTATATATTTTATTAATAAATTAAAATATTTATCTCAAAGATAATTTTTTATAATTTAATTATAATTGGTTTTAATATTAATATAATTTATATAAATAGGTGATTTAATTATAATAAATATAAATATAATACTTATAAATAAAAATATATTTAATAAAAATCATGAAATATCATAAATTTTCATAGTTGAAAATTTTGTATATACTAGATAAAATTAATACTGAACTTGTAATTTTTATATTAATTATTATAATGTGCTAACTTTATTAATTAAATGTACTTTCCAACTCTACCTATATGTATTTTTGATTTTAAAAATTAAAATTATAAAAAATGTTTTAAATATTATTTTAATAAAAAAATATTTCTATATTATAACAATATAAATAAAATCTTTTATTTTAAAAATTATTATGTAACACAATTTAACAGACCTTTACTAACTAATACAAATAACAAGAATTACAATAAATCTCGCTTTCATGAAATAATGATATAATAAGAATTGATAAATGATTTTAAAAATTAAAATTATAAAAATGTTTCAAATTAGAACATTAACAGACCTTTACTAACTAATACAAATAACAAGAAATACAATAAGTATCGCTTTCGAGAAATAATGATATAATAAGAATTGATAAAAGATTATTTTGATTTTAATTATAAAAAATTGTTTAAAAAAATATTATGTAATCACACTTAATTTAACAGACCTTTACTAACTAACATTAATAACAAGAGAAATAAACAACATTCTCATTGTAATTTCGAGTGGTGATTCAAGTTCATATGAGCGTAACTACATTATTAATCAGAATCAGTACGTGAATGAATTTTTCAACAGTCAACATAGAAAAAAGAAAACTTAAAAGTGCTTACCCAACATGCTGGTTTGATTATATGAGATTTTAACTTGTTGCGTAACCGTATTTCAAAGTCTTTTTCCTCAATTTTTCCATGTAACATCACAGATAATTCTGGTTTCCCGCAACAGAGATATCCTTTATATTTTGGGTAAAAAGAGAGTAAGCTGTTAATTGAAATGTATTATGTAGTAAGATATATTGAGAAAAAATAACCAGCATCCTATCAAGGAAAGGTAGCATCTCGTAAAAGAAGGTAACCAGCATCCTATTAAGGGAAGTAGCATTCCAACTAATAGAGGGAAGGTATGCTTACCTGAATTCATTTTAAGTTTTAGGAGTAGAAGAAAAAAATTGACGAATAAATGTGGGCGAAGGACTATAAATACTGACACGGAGCCAATACATTATTGGCCTAATATATGAAATTGAACACGAATTTTACGCCTTTATTGCATCAATGATAATCAAGAATCAAAATCTATTGTTTATAAAAAGTAAATTAAAAATCATTATAATATACATAATAAATTTAATATGTCACTTAATGATAAAAACAATTATTTCGATTTTTTTTTTTAAAAAAAAAAAAATTACTATAAATTATAATCTTTAATTAATAAAAAAAGTTGTACCATATATAATTAACCGTGGTAACTCATAATTATACAAGATCTACAAGGTTTATTCAATTATCTTCATCTTGAATGTCATGTTCATCATCATTGTTTGTGTCCTGAATGGAAAAATTGGTTAATATTAAGAAATGAAATATTATTTAGAGCAAATAATTTGAACTTACAAGGTCTTGTGTTTGTGATGAGTTATCCCGAGGAAATCCGCCAGGCATCGGAAGCTCTAGATTTTCATTTGGAAGTTGTTGATTTTCATCAATATCATATCCACTTGTTCCGCGAAGTACATCAATTAATCTTTCAGCTGCTGCTTGTAGGTTTGCTGAATCAGCTATTTGATGTATACGTTCTGCAATCATTTGCATATTCGTATTCTGTATAATAAACGAGAAAAACATATTTAAGCTTAGAAAATAGAAATGAATATAGAAATGAATAAAGTAGTAAATGATACCAACTCCAAGTAATTGTCGTAGGTCAACTGCCAAAAGATTCTCCCAATCAGAGTTAGCAAGCGTTGAAGAAGTTTCTGAATATGCATCATAAGGACTAACTCCATCCGGTGGCGGTAAAGGATCGTGAAGATTAATATCTCCGCTTGTGACCTCAGGAAGATATGCGAGAAATTTAGAATTTTCTATTTTTAAAAATAATAAATTTTTAATAATTCAATCCGATTATTTACGAAAAATTATTTAAATGTATACAAGCAAATAATTATCAATAAATTACCAGAAACGACAATATATCTACTTAAATTTAGCGGGATTTGTTCATTAAACGAATTTTCTCTGAGATTTTTTCCATATAAAAGAGCTTGACTAAACTCCTCATCATTCAAAGAAGCTAGCAAATCATACCGGGTTAATATAAAATTTAAATGATTGAAGTAACTTAATATTCTCACCTTTATAATTTGGAATTTGCAATTTCACAACTACGTTTATTAACGCAGTCTGAAGCCAGTCAATAAGCTATGTAATACAATATTAGACAATGTTAACAAATATATATATATATATATCATGGAAAATTCACAGATAATAACCTCAGGTTGCGTCCATAGAGACGAGACTTGTTCAACGTAATGATTAATCAAAAGATTAAGATAATTGGAACTTGGCCTATTATTATTATTATTATTAATAATAATTAACAAATAATAAATGTAAGATGTTGATAACATTATAATTAAAACCTTACACTTCTTGAATTAACGAACTTTCGGCAACATCATTTTCAAGTTGAATATCACATTTTTCAGACAAAAGAAGTATAACGGATGGAAAATAAAGAATAGCCTTTTCTAACATTTTTGTGCTCATTTCATGTGTCTAAAAAAAAATTTTTTTGTTTTTTTGTTTTGTTAATACTGATATTATAAATCACAAAAGCCTAACGAGAACATAAATATACATGCTTACGGAATTATTTTCGTCACGCAACTCTAATTGAAAATTTGCTATTGCGGCAGAATAAACAAAATTAGGCCAATTTTGTAAATTATGCAAAGTCCATTCATTGGCAAGGGATAAAACATAAGAATGTTGTTGAGCTTTTAAACCAAGATAATCAATGAAATACAGTACACTCAAAGGATCATTTAGAGGATCCAATGAAAGTAATAATTTTGAAAATTCAAAGGAAGTTTGCCAACATCCTCGACGAGACGAAGATTGGATCTGGCGTAATAATCCAAGGAAAAAAGCTCTATATGTATTCAAAAGACAATCCTGAATATATAGTTGTATTACAAGTTAGAATAATAAATTAAACTCGTACCTATTTTCGAAATGTTTGTAATCCATTCGAGAAGTACCTTTTGTAATATTAAACTTGACGTGGAAGCTTTTTTCAAACGCATATAATGCACGTTCTATAAGCTCGCCAGCCATAGTATGATCTCCTGACATTTTGTAAATGTCGCTCATTTGCAATAGCGAATCTATATGATATGGATTCTCATGCAGTAGGGAGAAGATTGCATTTGGATCTATTAAATAACAAAATAAATTTAGGCTCGAGTGCTTTATAAAAAATTCATGAAAATGAAAATGAAAAGAAATAATAAAAACATGTACCATGTGTAGCTATGCGTTGTAAAAAGTCCAATTGAACAATTTGATATTGCTGAGAGTGTACAAATTTAAAATAACATATTCCTTCTTCTTCCTTCAATAATTCCATTCTTAATCCAAATTTAAGAATCGGTGGCCAACTTTGTCTTGGCTTTGCCAGCAACGTTCTCTTTATAGTACGCGCGTAATTTCTGCTTCGAATCTCTCTGTCTACCTACATAACTAATTGTGAGGTTACCAAAACAGCAAGAAATTGTAATTCAAATAAGAAATAAGAAATATGATGTTGAAGCTACTCACAACTCCAGAAGAAAACATTCTCCTCATTTCGCCATCTGCATCTAATAAACGTGTGTCTATAATTAAAAATGGATTGTTTAAAACTACCGAAGATTGATGTCCTTTTGATTTATCATCGTCCTGTTTTGCTGTTGAAAGATTACCGAATCTAATAAGCATATATAAATTTGTGTTAGTTACATCAAATAAAAATCATAATTATAATAATAATTTTAATTTACTTGTCACTAATTTCTCGAATCAAAGTTTCTAGTTCGGTATTGCTCATATCTTCGACTCTCTTTCCTGTCCGTGTTTTCTTATCTAATTCAGGCACAGGATTCTCAACAGAAGCATTTTTTTTCTTTTTCTTTTTCTTTTTCTTTTTTGAAGAGGAGGCTATAACCGGTGTCGAGGTATTTTGTAGATTTTGCTACAAATTTTATAAAAATATATTAACAAATGATCGGCTTATAAGAATAAATGTTTAAGTTCACTAACATTTTCGTCCGAAACGTGGCTTTCAACGTCGTCAACACCTTCATTGAGCTTTATTGTTTATTTAGACAAAATATTTAGTTTGATCAGGAAATTTTAACAAAACAGATGATCTTACGTACTAAATCGAATAAATTTCTCTTTGGAGGTGGCGGTGTCGGTTCAATTTCCTCGGAATCATACTCTTTATTTTGCACTGCTGAGAGCTCATACTCTTTATTTATGGCTTTTCTAAATGCACGTCCTGACATTTTGCTATATTACTATTATAATATTTTAAATATGGTGGAAGCTTATAATCCTATAAAATTTTGCTAAATAGGCAAATCGTGTATTTTTCCGCCTGATAAGATCTGGTTCAATCAACATCACATGTAATAGATATATATAAATTTAAAATTTTGCATCAGTTCTGCTGATTTAATTAATATAATGGGTAAAAGAGACAAGAAAACAGGAAAAGGTACGTTAGAAGTGTATTTTTTTTTGTTCAACGAACTAAATGATGTATTACAATTTTTTATTTAAAAACAATAGGACGATTGGATAAGTATTACCACTTGGCCAAAGAACAGGGTTATCGAGCTCGTTCAGCTTTTAAACTTATTCAATTAAATAAAAAATATAATTTTTTGGAAAAATCAAAATGTTTAATTGATTTGTGTGCAGCTCCTGGTGGTTGGTAAGTGATTTAACTATTTATATTTATTGGTAAAAAATGATTTTTAAATTACTTTTACATTAATTAAAGGTTACAAGTAGCGAGCAAATATATGCCAGTTTCAAGTTTAATTATTGGTTTGAATTTAAGATTTTTGTGTTATTATCGATAAAAAAAAAATTTTTTTTATTTAATTTTTTAATTAATTATATGAAATACATATCTTAATGTATTAAAGGTATCGATCTTGTACCTATTAAACCGATTCCAAAAATTATTACTTTTCAGGAAGACATTACCACAGATAAATGTCGGGCTATTCTTCGAAATGAATTAAAAACTTGGAAAGCTGATGTGTAATTTATAAATTAATTATATTCATAACTATTACTTCAAGGAATAATTTAATAAATAATATTTTTAATTTATGTAGAGTACTTCATGACGGTGCTCCTAATGTTGGTGTATCTTGGATCCAAGATGCCTATGCACAATCTGAATTGACTCTAAAAGCTTTAAAGTTGGCTGTGGAATCTTTGAACAAAGGAGGTTTTTATCTTTTACCTTGGATTTAATATTTATAAATTAATGATAATTATTAAAATTTTTGATTCATATTTATCCTTCATTTGATGTAATAATTAGGCACTTTTGTGACCAAAGTGTTTAGATCCAAAGACTATAATAATTTATTATGGGTATTTAATCAATTGTTTAAAAAAGTGGAGGCCACAAAACCTGCTTCTTCAAGGTACCTTGAATCATTTCCTATTAATGAAATTGATTTTTGTAACTAACTATCTATACGTTTATCTCATAGAAATGTATCGGCAGAAATTTTTGTTGTCTGTCGTGATTTTCTCGCCCCTAAAAAAATTGATCCAAAATTCCTTGATCCTCGCTCCGTTTTCCAAGAAGTAGATATTGGACCTACAAATAGATCAGTAGATATATTACATCCTGAAAAAAAGAAGCGACAGCGAGAAGGTTATGATGACGGAGATTATACTTTATTTAAGGAAGCATCAGTTTTAGATTTTATTCAATCGAACGATCCAATTAAACTTCTTAGTGAGGTCAATAAGTTAAACTTTGATACTGATGAAGCCAAGAAGTGAGTATTTCACTTACATTGTATTTATTTTTACTTTTGCTGACTTTTAATAATTTCTTAGACTATTGAATCATGAAATGACTATTGAAGAAATTAAAATGTGTTGTGAGGATTTAAAAGTTTTAGGTAAAAGAGAATTCAAAAATCTTTTGAAATGGCGGAATTCTATTAGATCATCGGTAAGTGGTTATGTTAGTTTCTTGACAAAATAATTTTTCTTGACTTGATACGAAATAAATTTATAAAAAAATAATTTTCAGTTGCAAGAACAAGATGAAATAAATGAAAAGACGATCGATAAGGAAGAAAAAGAGGAATCTGTTGATGAAGACGAAATCATACAAGAAGAGGTTTGCATTATTTTGTGTCATTAAATTTTTCTTTTCAATACTTCATAATTAAAATTTTTTTTTATTTATCATTTTTTGTTGAAAATAAATAGCTCGAAAGATTGACCAAGGAAGAACAAGCTCGTCAGAAGAAATTTCGCCGAAAGGCCAACGAAAAGCGTCAAAAAAATGTGACCCGTATGCAATTAAAAATGATTTCGCCTACAGATATAGCATTAGATCAAGTTGATTTAAATGGGAGTGAATCATTATTTAATTTAAAGCAGATCGATAAATCTGGGGTAATTTTCATGAAGTCATACCTTTTTGAAAGTTGTGATATATAGACAATTAATTATTTTATTTCAGATGTTAAAAACGTTTCGAAAGGGAGACATGAATATTGTCATTGAAAACGAGCAAGACGATGGTGACATCGTGATTGATGATATAGATGTTCAAAAAAAACAAAATGATGATACCGAAGAAATGGAATACATAGATGATGAAAATAACTTAAGTTATTTAGAGCAGGAAATGGAAGATTTGTAAGAAGATACTTCACATTTATTTCATATTTCTTTTTACGTTTTTTTAAATGTTGCTTTATTCCCTTTTAGATATGAACAATATAAAGAACATAAGGCAGAACGTGATGCGAAATATAGAGTTAAGAAAATGCGTGAAGAAAATGAAGAATGGAATGGCAATCAAACTTTGGATAAGGAAGATGATTGCGATAGTGATACATTAGACTATGCAATGCCTCGAAACACAAACACCTATGATTCATCGTCATCAAGTGAAGATGATTCTGAAGTAGAGTCATTTAATAGTAATAAAGTAAAGAATAAAGCGAAGAAAAAGAACAAAAACTTATTAACAGATTTGAATGATGATGAAGACGAGGAAAGATCACAAAGTCCAAGTGGTTTAAGCAAAAAAGCAACTTTGTTTTTTGATCATCCCTTATTTAAAAAAGTGATGGAGGAATATGATGAAAATAAAGAACATGATCAAAGCTCATTAGCTAAAAAGATTCAAAATGATGAAAATAATGATCTTAATCTGACAACAGAAGAATATAAATTAGTTGAAAGTTCTCGATCTGAACCTGAAAGAGATGAGTCTCAAGTTAATAAAAATAAATCATTGAAACGTAAAGTTGAAGCGGTAAGAAAATTAAATACATATTATTTTAAATCGAATCTAGTTGATAATAGTTTATCTTTACAGATTGAGGAAGATGATGATTTAGAAATAGTTCCAGTCGATAAAGACAGTGATGAGGAATTATGGAACGCTAATGAATCTGACGACGATGACAAAAAAATGAAAAGGACACGAGGTCATTTCATATTCATTTATTAAAATAACTATAATTTACTTTCTATAACGTTCGATTACATTTTTTCTTACTACAGAAATTGGGTTACTTACCGCAGAAGCCGTAACTCTTGCACAACAATTAGTAAATCGACAAAAAACCAAGGAAGACTTGATAGATGAAGGTTTTAGACGACACACTTTTAATGATAGAAAAGGGTTACCATCTTGGTTTTTGGATGATGAAATGAAGCATAATAAGGTTAATTTGCCGATAACAAAAGAAGCAGTTGAAATAATTCGTCAAAGGATGAAAGCATTAAATGCTCGGCCCATTAAAAAGATTGCCGAAGCCAAAGCTAGAAAAAAGATGAGGGTAATTATTTTTGAATTATCAAAATATAATTTATTTTCCCTTCTTTATAATAATATCATGAGAAAAATTTTCTTTTCCTCCTTGTTTAGGCCATAAAAAGACTTGCTAAACTTCAAAATAAAACTGATGTTATCGTTGAGACTCCCAGTATGACTGAAAAAGAAAAGGCTCAAACAATTTCCAAAATGATAGCTAAAACGCAAAAAAAGGTCAAAAAGGAGGTTAAAGTAGTTGTTGCTAAGGGTGGAGCCAAAGGTATGAAAGGTCGCCCTAAAGGTGTAAAAGGAAGATATAAGGTAAGAGATCGTTATATACGTATCGATATTTTTATATGTTTGTTGTTAATATTAAATGATTATTTTAAATTTAGATGATAGACTCGAGAATGAAAAAGGAAGTTAGAGCAATAAAAAGACAAGGAAAATCAAGAAAAAGACAAAAGCGGTAATTTATTTGATTTTATAGGATTATCACGCGTATTACGTCATATAAATCATATTGATTACTTTTAAAATAAAAAAGACAAAGAAATTGATTAATCATTTCAAAAGTAGCTCAAATAAATAGAATTAAAATAATTGAAGGTTCTGTGGCTTTTCAAAATTTCCTTATTTATTATAACTTGCATATTGCAACGCCACCAAACTTCCTAAAATGAAAGCCATACTGCAAGTAATAGATGTTTGATCAACCATTTTTCCGGACCGCCGTAAAATGTAACGTAATACAAATATCATACGAACTGATTTTGCCCCCTTTTTTTCACTCTGAGTTGGCTGCAATTTTCAACACCAGCTTTTCAGAGGAAAAAAAAAAAAATCATATTCAACAAATTTTTTTTTCCTCTCTCATTGTACACATAGCCTTCTTCAAGCCACACTTCGCAAATATTGAGGAAACTTAATAATACTTTTTTCCCCCTTTATATAAAAATTATGGAAAACGTTCAAGCAATAGGAAAAGTTAATATTCAAGAAAATGACGTTATGGAAGAAGCCTCAACCTCTCATGTCGATAACACTGCGCCTCCAAACGCCGCCTCTTCAACTTTACAACAAATTCAAAAGGTCGAAAATTCACTTGGAAATCAAAGAGTTGAACCACAAGTACAACAAGTTCATGGTACTAATACTTCAAATAACGAAGGTTCTACCACAGTAATGACTTTTCATCAGCAACAAAACCTTCCGGTACAAAATGTTCAAACAACTTGGCTTGACCCTTCATTAGAAAATAAAACTAATCTTTCGAATTCAACAATAACAACTGTAACAACTCACAAGGAACCTGTTATGAATGAACCACTGGAAAATCTACCTACGAACGTTTCGTCAACTCCACCTTCTACCACTCATGATATTAATATGATGACTCCAAATATGAAAAGTCTGAATTCCACTGGTCCATATACTCCAGATTCAACCAATTTTCCTTCCCCTTCGACTCCTTTAGATTCTTCTCCTTCAGGAACCTTTAATCAATTTTCTGTAAATTCTGTAAATCCAGATAAAACAATTTCCGGACAACAAAATAATCCTAATGTAGTCAAAGCAAAACCATTTGTTTGTACAGTGTGTAACCAGACTTTTAGTCGTCAACATAACCTAAAGTCTCATGCTTTAACTCATTCTCAAGAGAAACCTTTTCAATGCGATATATGCCATCATTTCTTTCGTAGACATCATGATTTGAAAAGACATGCAAAATTACATACCGGAGAAAAGCCATATCAATGCCCACATTGTAAAAGGAAGTTCGCGAGATTGGATGCACTGAATAGACATTTACGAGCCGAAAGTTTTTGTGGAGGACCACACAAAAAACTTTTTCAAAATTCGGAATCCAAGTTAGAGCAAACAACATCACAGCAGCCACTACTACAACCACCGCCACAACAATCACCGCCACAACCACAGCAGCTAATTCAAGGACAAACACAGCCGCAAACGAAACCACAATTAGATCAAAAGCAAAATTCACAACAAACAACACAATTACAACAACAACAACAACAACAATATAAACAACCTGTTGAAGATTTACAAAAAAAGCAGGCACAAATTCAAACTAATAATAACACCCCAATTAATAAAAATGAAATATCATTTCAGAGACAACAAGTGATGCATCAAGAACAATTTCATTCATGGCCACCGCAAGTGTCATCACAGCAGTTATCTCAGATTCAAACTATTCCTCAATCAAATAATACACAATCGTTACAAGGCAATCAAGCTACTCATGCTAATATTGTAATGACAAATCAATCTCACCAAATAGTATTTCCAGTCGAAGCGGCAACAACTGCTGCCGCTTCCCATTATAAAATTCAATACACCCTTAATAAGCAAATTCAAGAACCACAGAGAAGAGTTTCCGAGATAATTATGGCAAATGATCAGGATGTTGAGGTTCATTCTAATAATGGTAAAACTTCATGTCGAGAAACACAGTTAATTGAGAGAAATAGTTACCTAGAGGAAAGGGTAAGAGAATTAGAAAATGAAGTTATCAATGAGCGTAAATTACGAACCCGTCGTGAATATTTGGAGCAAAGAGTAAACGAACTTGAAATAGAAGTAAGTAATATATTTGTGATGGTTATTTTATTAATGTTTCTTTTATTGAACATGCACATATCTTTTTTTTTTTAAATCCATTTAGAAAAATCTTTTGAAACAACTTTTGTTGGAACGTGATACTAGTTCATCTGATATTTCACACCTCGAGAAAAAACGTAAAACTGCTTCACCGAACGATTCGTCTAACCTTCAAAAAGATTGAGATCATATATTATTTGTTGAAAAATGTTGATTATTATACAAATTTTTGTATATGTTATATATATAATTGGGTGATAAAGATCACTTACATTTTTATATTTATAGATATTTGTTATTTTCAGGATTTTGAATTATTTCTCTGCAAAGAAAACAAATAATTCATATATATATATATATTTTTATACTACTTTTTTTTTTTTAATTAAATACTGTCATTTTCAATTAACTAATGTATCATTTTATATTATAATTAAAATGGTGAAAAATTTAAATCTTTAAAATGCAGAGTTAAAATAAATATTTGTGAGAGTTATACTCATTTATTATTACAATGAAAATGATGAGTTTTTAATATTACAAGAGTATATAAATTTAATTAATTATTTCAGATAAATAATAATGATTATAATTATATAAAAATAGGTTTAAATTTGAAGCATCAATTACTTTACATAGAAAGAGGTCTCTCTTGCATTCCATTGCTATTTCTACTAGCGTTTTTATTATTGACCGTAACTTCTGAAGAAGCAGATTTAGGAGACCTCGGAGAACTTAATTGAGATCTCTTGTTCTTAAAAGAAAGGCTAAGAGAGGCTGCGAGATATATTCGTATCATTAATAGGTCCCGTATTAAAATTAGATTTATTAAAGAATATATAAATAATTACCTAAGCCGCTGGCGACACTATTCTTTTTTATAAAATTTTTTCCTCGATTTTCCCAACTGTTTTTGCCTTGAGTACCTCCACCATCACGAAGCTTTTGCGCGTGACCAACCAAGCATTCGATCATTTGGTTATACGTTTCCGAATCCATCATTGTTTGCTCGCGTTGATCCAACCAATATGTAAGAGTGTCCGAAGTTTGACGTGTTAATGAAAGAATTTGTGATCTTAGCGAGTATAATTCAGATGTACTATGTTTTTGTAGAGATTCTTCAGGTATTGAACATAATGATTTGGCCAATTCAACGTCAAATTGTTTCGGTATCTCCTGTGATGTCTCATTATTTATTTTAGAAAGATTTCCATGAGAGGAACTAGAAAGATTATTATTAGATGAAGGTGTGGTAGATCGACTAGTTGGCGCTGATAAACTCGCTGATTTTGATGCAAGTCGCGATGGTTGCGGAGATAACACCGATATCGTCGCTGCATTTATATTGACTGGTGTTTTGACCTAATGAAAGTATCATAAATCAATATAACCACTTGATCCCAAAAAAAAAAATAAATAAATAAATAAACAAATGAAATAAATTAAAAGAACCTCTTCTATAGCATCGATTGCAATTCCCAAATGAGTATAAAATTTCTTTCTTATTTTGGATTTTTTCCACTGAAAAGGATTTTCAATTGATTCGTGAGATATTTGTTGCCATATTGTCAAGCTAAATCGCCAACCATTTTAAAAATTGAAAATAATTTAAATCTATAAAAATATAAATCTATTTTTGTTCATCCAAACATTAAATTTATCAAAATATGTATAAAAAAAAACCAACCTTCCTGATGTATTTAATATGGCTTCTAATCCGGTATCACCCATAGATTCTTCTTGATTTGTTGACGACACGGCGTCATTTGATCGAAAAATATTACCCAATACCCCCATTAAGTCTTCGATCAAAGTTTGATTATTCGTTATGGGAAAATCCGCTTGATGCTTATTCTTTACAAGGAAGAAAATAAATTAAAGTGATCCACTTGACTACGAATGAGGAGGTAACCAAACCGGCATATTATTTGAACTTACTAAATTTGATATGTTCGAAATTTGTTCATCAAAATTATTATTTAAATCTCCTTGAAAATTTTCTGAAGTTTCATTTGCATCACTACTATCTATAAAATCTGCAAAATCATCGAAATCTTCTTCATGCGACTCCCCTTTCCCTATAATAGTTTCTTGAGTAAAGCTCGTAAATTCTTCGAAATCATTGAAACTATCAGTGTTTACTTTCTCAAAATCTTTTCCCTCAATATTTTTAGATTCCTGCCACTCAAATTCTTCCATTTTGAAAGGCAATATTAATCAATTTCAAATTTATTTTAATAATTGCTTAATGCCGAAAAGATATAGTTAATTCAATAAAAAAAAGAGAGACCGAATTCGGTCGGATATGATCGTCAACAGAGCTTAAATACCATAAAAAGTCATGCATTTTTGAGTAACGACCCGTATTCCTAATATATATGTAAAGAAATTTGATTTGATAACAATATTGTTAAATATATGTTGGGTGTTTCATGATAAAAAGTCTCCGTTGTGTCGTAGAAGCAGCGCAGTATCGATTTCCGGACGGACTTCGGAGTTTGCTTGTATTACACCAAAAAGAAATCAGGTTTAATATTATATATTTTTGTTAAAGCATATCCAAGCTTTAAAGGACAGCTGGTTTCTACTCTGTTAGTTTTGTCTTAGGTATTATATCTTCTTACTTTATCAAAATACTACGAGGAACTTTGTCAAGTTACTTTATTTGCTTTCTCTTAACGCACATTGATCAGTTATTATTGTAATCAGGTAATAAACGGGTTGAATAAAAAAAAGTATGTTACGCTGCGCATTATTGATTATTTAAACGCGCACTCATACTTATTCTGTCAACAGGTATGGAGGCCAATCCACCATTGCCAGCTCCAAACGATTTGGCAGCTACCTGGGCCTTCCTTGAAAATGGCATCGATCAAATTATGAACAGGCTTGAAGAAGGGTTGAGCTACAAACGATATATGGATCTCTATACGTATCTTTTTTATAAAGTTCTAGTCGAGATCTCAAATAGTTCCATTTGCTTCAAAAGTAATTTGGATAAACTATGTAACTTTAGTACTAAAAAATAGTGCTAATATATTTCATATATTCTAAACGGAAATAACTTATGTGTTGTCTCTCTAGTTTTTCCTAACAGAATCCAATTTTTGTTTCTCTCTTAATTAAAATTATTTGGATTACATCCTTAATGTTTATCAATGAATTTTTTTCGTTAAATAGCGGTATTTATAATTATTGTACAAGCAGCCGTATGAATCCTGGGTTCGCCTCAGAACCTCTTGCTGGTCCCGGTTCTAATCTTAATAATAATCGAGGTAAATTCATTACACATTTTATATTATCTCCCAGGCTCTTATGTGTTTAAATATATAATATCATAATAAATCTTTTGATACATCAGGCGCAAATTTAATGGGAAGTGATTTATATCAGAATCTACAAAGATATTTAGAAAGGCATCTTTTTACTATTCGTGAGGTATGGTATAACAATTTAGCAAGCTTATGGTTAAAGAAAAAGGAAGAGTGATAAGGTTATTTAAATTCTTGCTTTTTTTAATAGAATTCAACGCAATACATGGATGAGAACTTATTGCGTTATTACACTAAACACTGGGACAAATATACTACAGCCTCTTCATATGTACACCATGTATTCCGGTATCTTAATCGCCATTGGGTGAAAAGAGAAATTGATGAAGGTCGCAAGACAGTCTATGATGTTTATACTGTATGTCTTACATTAAGTACGGATACAAATTTGATATTTAACATCCGAAAAATTAAAAAAAAACTTACAAATTTTAATATAACGCGACATATTCTTTATAAATTTATACAGCTTACCCTCGTTAGCTGGCGAGATCACATGTTTATGCACGTCGAACGACATGTAATGACTGCAGTGTTAAAACTGATCGAAAGACAGAGAAATGGTGAGACCGTCGAAACGGGGCTGGTTAAGAGTGTTGTTGACTCTTTCGGTATGTGTTTTTTTAAAAATTGTAATTTCGTGCATTTTATTTTAACAACGTTTTATGATATTCAATTCGATATTTATATTTAGTTTCCCTTGGGCTTGATGACGCCGATTCTACCAAGTCCACACTTGAAGTTTACAGGGATCATTTTGAACGACCGTTTGTGGAAGCTTCAGAAGTTTATTATAAAGCTGAATCTGAAAAGTTTGTTAGCGAAAACAGTGTTACGGATTATATGAAAAAGGTATGAAGTATTTTTTTTTTTTTGTTTGCAAGATTTTTCGTACAGAGAGCATTTTCCTCACCTTTCGGACGATATGACGACATGCATAGGCCGAGACGCGTTTAGCCGAAGAAGAAAATCGCGTAAAAATGTATTTACATGCGAGCACTCATAAACCTGTAAGTATTGATAATATTTATTTATTATATATCTTAAACATTTGTTAATTCATTTAAATTTAAATTTTGGATAGCTTATTACTACATGTGAAACGGTACTTGTGAAGAACCATACAGACATCATGTGGGATGAATTCCAAAATTTGTTGAATATGGATAAATTAGATGGTAAGTATATATAATCAAGTTTTCGACTTATTTTGAAATATATTAATTCTATGCATAATTGACAAAATATTGATATATCTATTAGACCTCCATAGGATGTACTCCCTTTTATCACGTATTCCCGAAGGATTGGATCCCCTACGTACGCGATTTGAGGAGCATGTGCGCAAGGCTGGGTTGAATGCCATTGAAAAAATTGCAGATCAAGGCGGCGAAACTATGGTAGTGTATCATTTGTCTTTATTATTATTTCTTATTCCATCAATTTTTTTTTTGAATTAAAACTTTCCCTTATTTAGGAACCAAAAACATATGTAGATGCATTGTTGGAAGTTCATAGAAAATACAATGATATGGTTTCAACGGCGTTCAGGGGCGAAGCTGGCTTCGTGGCATCACTGGATAAGGTAAATAACGAATAATTTACTCTTGTTAAACTATTAAATATGTAACTTCTATTAATAATATTTTATTATAACTGTTTATAGGCGTGTCGAGAGTTTGTAAATCGCAACAACGTATGCAAATCTTCGACATCAAAATCTCCAGAATTGTTGGCCAGATTTTGCGATTCACTACTTAGAAAGAGTGCAAAGAACCCGGAAGAAAGTGACCTTGAAGACGTCTTAAACAATATCGTATGTATATTTTGTGGTTACGTTGTGTGAATTTTAAAGAGTATTTTTTTTTTTTTCAAATTTGCAATTCATACGCGTATTAGATGACGGTGTTCAAATATGTGGAAGATAAAGACGTATTTCAGAAATTCTATTCAAAAATGTTAGCAAAGCGTCTTGTGAATGGTACATCGGCATCGGAAGATGCTGAGTCAAGCATGATTTCAAAATTAAAGGTTCGTGCTCTTAAAAGATATTGGCAAAAAAAAAATATATATATTTTTTTTTATTAATATTTTTAACCTTATAGGAAGCATGTGGGTTTGAATATACCTCAAAACTACAACGCATGTTTACTGACATGGGTTTAAGTAAAGACCTTAATGATCAGTTTAAGGATAGATTTTCGGTAGAAGCAGGTGAACCGCAAGGTATCTATCTATAGTGTATTTATTTTTTATTTGCACTTATGTTCTTATATGTTCTTATGATTGTTTTACATTTACGTTTGTATTAGTCGATTTCTCGGTTCTTGTATTGGGAACAGCATCCTGGCCACTTCAACCATCCACCACCAACTTCATCATACCAGAAGAGGTGCGTGTTTACTCTTTATTATCATTAAACATGGCTTTTGTGCATAAATTTAATTTTTCTTTTTAAATTTTCTATATTACGGTAGGTTGAAAGAACTTTCCAAAGGTTCAAGATGTTTTATCAAAACAAACATTCAGGTCGTAAATTAAATTGGCTATTTCATCTTTCAAAAGGTGAATTGAAAACCAATTACTTGAAAGCAACAAAGACAGGATATACTTTTCAGGTGGGTTTTAAGTATATATTATAATTATAATAATAATAATAAAATAATAAATGTACTCAATTTATTTATTGTTTCAATTGTAGGTTTCTACATATCAAATGGGGATCCTCTTACAATATAATAAAGATACGTCATACGCTTTTGAAGAATTGAGTCAAAGTACAGATTTGAGTCCAGACGTTCTATCTGGACAATTGGGAATCTTAGTAAAAGCTAAAGTATTGTTACTTTCCAATGGCTCAAGTGTTGGAGAACCTAGTTCTCGATATGATTTGAATATGGATTTCAAGAGGTTTGTGATATTAATTATTAATTTTTTGATACTCGTCCGTGTCAATGAATGAAAATCATTTAATTAATTAATTTATTTATCTATCTATATCATAAATAGTAAGAAGGTCCGTATCCAATTAAATGTTCCTGTCAAATCTGAACAAAAAGTTGAGGTGGAAGAAACTCATAAAACTGTCGAAGAAGACAGAAAATTATTGATGCAGGTTTGTATTGGTTTTATAATTTGGTTTATATACCGCAACAAAAAATTTTTTTTTTACTAATATTGCTTTGATATAACTAGGCTGCCATTGTTCGCATTATGAAGACCCGTAAGACGATGAAACACGTAGCTCTTGTTCAAGAAGTGATTTCTCAGTTATCAAATCGCTTTAAACCGAGAGTTCCAGACATCAAGAAGTGCATTGATGTCTTGTTAGAAAAGGAATACATAGAACGTGTTGATGGTCAAAAAGACATGTTTTCTTATGTTGCTTAATTTTAGTGTATATTATATCTGAATCTGTATTAGTTATCGATACTATTTGCATATTGTTAAATGATTTAGTGTTTTTAAATATAAAAACGCTTAACATATTTTATCATCTTAAAGTTTATAATTGAATCTGTAGTAGTTCGGAAATTGTTGCTTCTCTTTATAAGATCTGAAAATTAGATTTCTATGAACAATTTTATATCTTAACATCAATTTCCAACATTTCTTTATTAGTTTATTTTTTCCACACATATATATTTCTTTGTAATAAATGTGAAAACATTTTTGTTTAAATCCAATAAAAGGAACGATGATTTCCATAATTTTCCTTGAATGCATCTAACTAAAATATTATTAGTCTTAATCACAACATAATGTCGGAATTTCAAATTTTTTATAATTAAATAACATATTCACGTGATATCGAGAACTAAGAAACAAAAAATCACATGACAACTAAATACGCGTATTTCGTATTTATTACCTTTTATTTTTTTTTAAAAAAAAAACCCCGCAAAACATGTACTCAATCGATAAAAGTAATAAACGTAATTTATCAAGTTACAGTAATGAAGTCAAGAGACACCAGGGAAGGAATAGTTATCCACATGTTCTCAACTTTTATGGTGTACCCCCTACTGAGGAAATTACTATTGACGAGTTTGAAAGTTTCGCTTTTGACAGAATGCAAGGTATATAGTTAAAATGAAATACGCGTTATTTTTTTTCCACCATGTATTTATACATATAAGACATGTTTTATTTATCTTCAAATTGTCAAAAGTATTAAAAGCTCTTGAAGGAGCAATATTACGTAACAAGGAAGAAGAAGAAATAAAAAAACATATAGACAATATATCGAACAGTTGGCTTCCATTACATTCAAACGAATCAGATAAAGGATATTCATTACAAGAAGAGAGAAGAAAAGATCACATATCCCATTTTATCTTAAGATTGGTTTATTCTAGAACGTAAGAGTAATTTGCAAATTAAATTGTTATAATTTAATGTCTTTTACATTAATTATCACTTTATTCAAGTGAAAATTTAAGAACTTGGTTCTTGAAATACGAGTGTGCTTTATTCAAGTAAGACAGATTTTTGTTATATTTATTCCTTTTAATTCAAGTAATTTATCTAAATTTATTTGTTACGTTTGTAGATTGAGATTTTCGAGGGAAAATAAAGAAGAAAGGTTATCCTTTCTGAAAGACGAGAATATCACGTGGAAAAATGTAGGCTAATTTATTTTATCATATACTTGAAGATATGTTAATAAATTTTAAATCTATTATTCTTAAAAGTTAAGTCAAGCCGAAAAGGAATCAATGGCAAACGAATTGCATTGGTCATCAAATTTTGACGAGGAAACATTTTTTGAGGTACAAACATGAAGATTTGAAATTCAATGTATCATTCTTGATTCTTTTTTTTTTTTTTTTAACTTTATTTTGTGCTTAACTTAGATTGATTTTGAAAAAGTACCAGACCTTGTTGCAAGACGTGCCGTTTATTTAAAGAAGGGTAAAGCCTATGTTCCAATGGCCGATCTATTATCCCTTGTTATGTATGAATTTCGGCAGAGACTTTCGAAAGCATTAGAAGTACGCGAAATTTACGTAAATTGTTTTTTTACTTTTATATTACTTGATGCATATTTTTTATAATTTTTTTTTTTATGTTATTATCTATAGTTAGCAAGCAAGTCATTTATTACTTCAAGAAATGAACGAATTATGCCAATGTTGGATGAAATTATAAAACAATATGACGGCAGAATGCAGACAAGCAATTATTCCGTAGTCGATGATCCAACGTCAGATAGCGTGCATCAAGTATACAATTTAAATATCATAATAATTTTACGTAAATTTATTTTATAATAAAAATTTAAATTTGTTTCTTATTAGCTGGTTGAACATTTCCCGTTATGTATGCAACATTTGTACCAAAACCTTTGCGAGAATCTTCACTTGAAACATTTTGCTAGAATACAATTCAACCTATTCCTTAAGGTATCTTTGTTAAAGTAACATTTAAAAAAAAGGTAATGTCAATAATAATTAATCTGTTGATAATTTCTTGTTTACAGGGAATTGGACTAACTGTTGACGAGGCGCTTGCTTTTTGGAAAAAATCTTTTTCCAATATCGATGATGCCAAGTTTCAAAAAGATTACGCGTATAACATTAGGCATAATTATGGTGCGGAAGGGAAACGTCAAGATTATAAACCCTTAAAGTAAGCCATATAATTAATTTTCTTTTCTTAAGAAATATCGATTTAATTAAAAAGTTATCATTTCTTTGTTTAGTTGTATGTCTATTATTACCAAACAACGACCTAATACTGGACAAATACATGGATGTCCTTTCCGAGAATTTTCTCCAACGAATTTGAGAAGTAAATTAGTACAAATGGGAGTAAGAAATGAAGAACACATAAGGGAAATTTTAAGCCTCACTGATAGAGAACATTATCAAGTCGCTTGTACCAAGTATTTCGAAATAACCAAAGGTTTATTAGATGATAATGATGAGAATATGATAGAAACTATTGAACATCCAAATGAATATTTAAAAGCAAGTATTTCTCTTAAAAAAAATAGGATGAAGATGAATAATAATAAAGATGATAAATAAACATGGTAAACAAAAGCTTATAGTATTAATTCATATTTTATTATTCTTTAAGCATTATTAATATTTTTCCTATCTTTTGGCGCGTTAGATTTCTTCAAAAATACGTGATTTTTACTCTATATAATTAGAATTAGATTATAATTGTAATATCAGAATCTGCTTTAGATTTATAAATTTAATGATAAAAGAAATTATTTGGTCAGAAAACCTTATATTGTATCCTGTTAAAAGATGCTTAAGGGTTAAGTTTGTAAAAAAATTCTAAAAATTCTGCATGTTTATAGATAATAATACTAAAAAAAATACCTGAAACTTAATAATTTTTTTTTAATAATAAAATTTTAATGAATTGTAAATTTATTATATTAATATTTAAGCTTTTTAATTGTATTTCATTAAAAAAAATTTTTTTTAAAAATTAAATTATATTTATTTACTATATTTTTTTAGCTTAAAGTATTATTAAATTAGAAATAAAATTTTTTAATATTTAATTATATAAATTCACTCAAATTAATAATCAAACAAATCTGAATAATTAATATATTGTATAATATATATATATAAAATAATAAAAGTTTTGATATTATTAAAAAATTCATATTTTTATGATATATACTGTAATTTGTAGGTAAAAAAAAAAAATACTACTACAATTTCAATTTTACTCGGTATCTAAAAAAATAAAAATAAAAATAAAATGAACAAAAAATTCAAAAAAGACCAAAATTTCTGTTCCTTCACCTGTATAATATAAATGTTCTGAATTAAATTGTGCATTTAAATGTCCTTTTTCTACAGCTTTTTGTACCCATAAAAGAAATGTTCTAATTACTTTCTATCCCTTCACTTTATAATAAAATTTACAAGATTAAATTGTGTTTTAATATGGTTATTATAGGAAAAATGCTTTTTAATCTGAATTATCAGACGAGCCGCTGTCATATTGGTCTTGCTCTTCAGCTAAATTTCGAGGAAAATAACAATAAGTTAAAAGTTATATTACTTATTCTTAAATAAAGACTTAAAGGTTGCATACCGCCGCCTCCCAACAATGCTTCTAAAGAAATAGGTCCCGCTACGCCATTAGATTTTTTCCCGTCCTAATTAAAATTAATTCATATAAGATTTCGACATTTATCATATTAAGTTCGGAATTTAAATATATAAAAAACTTACTGTTGTAATCGACTTCTTTTTCGTACGAGGAGATTTAATAATGCTATTTATTGATTGTTTCATTTGTGTCTCAAGATCTCCTGCTACAGATTCCAGCTCTGATTCACTTGAATCAGACCCGTCACCGGAATCATCTGAATCGGAAGATGTAGAAGAAGTAGCACCTGAAGAACTACTGTTTGAAGATTCCGTCACATCGTCTTTTGTTACCAATTCATAATCTTCCATCTGTTCATACATATCTTCTTCGGGTGATGGAGCTTGTGGTAACGGAGCATCAACTTCCTCCAAATACTCCTCCATAAAATCACCATCATCATCATTATCATCATCATTATATTCGCATTCGTCGATTGCATTACCATTCTCCACAGTACCTTCCATTTTCATCGATTCTTTAAATTTCTCTAAATAATCCTCTTCTTCATCGGGGAAATCATCATCTCCATTTACATATGATTGATCTCCTCCTTCCATTACTTCTTGAAATTGTCGCACAATCTCAATATCAGAATTAGGGGTTTCAGGTTTCTGACTTATACTGTTAATTTCAGAAAAATCACTGCCTACACCTACTCGAAACTCATAATCAAGGAGCTCTAACGTATAGGTCTATAAATAAACCGATTATTAGTTAAAGATAATTCATAGAATTTATTTAAATTAAATAAATATAATTGTACTTTTGTTGTCTCATCAAATATTAATAAATAATCTCGTTCCGCATTTTCATCATCTATTATTTCACATGTATTATCTTTAAATTTATGTCCAGACAATAAATATGAATCATTTTCCTAAATTCAAAATTCATTTTAATTAATTATATAAGTAGCTTATAAACATTAATAAATATGTCATATTCAAGTAATAACAAACCAAATATCCACCAAAAGAAATTTGTACAGTCTTTTCATTCATATCTTTAATATTTGCAGGCTTTGAAAAATCTATATATTCATGTTCTTCGTCAACTAATAAAAAAAAATCTAAGTATTTTTTATAAGCCTATGGAATGTTAAACAATAGAATACTTACACACAAAACGAAAATAGGAATTTCTACTTGAATGACTTTGTTCAAGTGAATTCCCCACTTTAAAGTCGAATACTTGTGCCTCAGATTCAATAAACATTTCTTCGTGACTTTCGTTGTCTGACATTTTGTGTATGGTTATATAAACATAAGAATATTTGAGAACTTCTTCCAGTTATGACAACAATTATTAGTAAATTTTTTTTTTAACTGGCTTAAGTAATCGATAATATATTGATTTCAAAAAATATAATAATAAAACACCATATTTTAAACATTTTTCGAGGATATTACAAGTTATCCCTTAAAATCGTCCGATCTAAGCGGATAAACTTGCCCTCTTTATTTTCCGAAATATCTACTATCTTTTATACACGCGTAATATTCATACTCAGAATTTTTTTTTTATTTTTTGTTGCATGAACTATACAAACTCTTAAAAGTTTTAAAGTGAATATAACTATTATATCCTAATTGGAAAATAAAGATTAGTACAGGATAAACTTCTAAGGAATTTGTAAAATACGATTTTGGCTTCTGCTATGAATGAATTAAAAAATCAGGATAGATCTCATATTTAGTTGTGAAGAAAAGGGTAAAACGCTTATATGAATGAAATATTAATTAACTGTAAATCATGATTCAATTCAGATGATATGATGAGCACAGGAAAGTATACTAATCACCATTCACGGATTTCGAAGAAAACTCGGCGGGCAATTTTGCATCAAACCATCCGGGAGTCTTTTTTCCCAAAGCCTCAAGAATCAGAGCTGCACAATCCATGTTAGTTACTTTACTCTCAATCTTCGAGCTCGGTTCAATCCCTGCACCACGAACAGCTAAGAACACATTGACTTCCTGGTCGCTATCTCCACCGTGGCTTCGTCCAATACCACCATGGTCAGTTGTCATTATTACAAGAGAATCATCTTTCCATCCCACTTCATCAATAGCTTCAAGAATTGTCGCAACGTGTGAGTCCATAACTTTGATTTGATTCAGATACTTTTGAGAACCATAACCATGACCATGGCCATGCTCGTCTACGTCAGTCAAATGAACAAACAACAATTTAACACTTTTGTTTTCAGGGTTACGAATATAATCGACCAACCGTGAGACAACAGCATAGTCGTAAACAGAATTTTTAAGCCAGTGATGTTTAAAACGCAGCCACCATCTCCAAAAACGGTTTTCGTGGGTGAGAGGAGCATACAAATCGGCCTTCACCGAAAGTTCAATGATACCAGTGTTGATTGATTCCCATGCTACATATGATGCCATCTTTATATCCTTGAAACTATTAGCAAGTAGCTTGTAAATGCTTGGATAGGGACTATCTTCATCATATGGTACGCCAGCCTCCACTTCACCGTTTTTTAATCCATGCTTATCCGGTAGAACTCCGTGTAGTACTGATCCCCAGTTTTGCGCACTGTCAGTCGGCACAACTGCTTTTGCAGTCAATGAGCTGGCACCCGAGGCAAAAAAGGCATCAATTGTGGGTGTTGGGATTTCCATGAAAAATCTCCCTACACCTAGGTATGAATTAGACATCATTTAGCATGGTTGTTTTATTAATCAAACAATAATTCTTCTAGTTTGTTCCTATACTTACCATCTAATGCGAGAACTATAACACGTTTATATGAACTTTGCAAAACCATGTTTGGAGAAGTGATATTCCCGACATTCTAACAGAGTTTATATATAATGAGCACAGGAACATAATTACTGCGGCGCGAAATATATCTAACCAAATCTGTATTCATACAATCCACACAATTTAATCACAGTTGAATTGTGGTACATTTGTTGGACATTTATTGCATCTCATTTAGGTCCCTTTTATATAATTTTTTTTTCAGGGCCGTGCCGGCAAGAATCCGATTGTCAGGCAACTTATGCTATATTGTTTAGCAACTTATGCTATTGTCAACGTTGGTCACAATTTCCAGAATTCGGAAAATTCTCCGGATGTCAAGAAAAGCCCTCGGGTACACGAGGATCTCAATGTTGCCTACAAAAGGTGGGACATTTGTATCAATTTTTTATATAATGAATACTTTCTTTTTTTCTTGTGTAAAGAATTGACGATAGTGCTTTATACTAACGAAAAAAATATATATAAATATATAACGTTCCTGCCTGTATTTCTCCAAATTATGTATGTATGATTTAATTTGCTGTCTCTATTTTACGTTTATTGCAAGTTTATAAGTTATGGGGTTATAGTAGTATATTCTGTTGGCTATTTCTCCTTATTTCCATTTTAGATGAGCACCGAAACTAATATATCAGGAGGCTATGGTCTCTGTCCCGCATGTGGTAAACAAAAAACATCTATTAATTGGTGCCCGCCATGTCATGCGGATTTGCTGCTTAAAGAACATTCAGGATGGACGAGTGGTGATAAGAACCTGGATGATTTTATCAAAAAAACTATTACCGATGCGCGACGCTCCTATGATTATTTAGAATGGATTCCGTTTGAGAATTTCAAGGTAATCAAACAAATAGGGAGAGGTGGATTTGCCACCGCTTTTTTAGCGAACAGAACTAATTGTCGGACAGGTCATTTCGAATGGGATGAAAAGGCCAAGAAATATTTCAGAGGGAAATATAAAGATTATCGCGTTGCTCTGAAATCCTTCCATAACACTCCTGACATAGCCTCAACGTTCCTCAATGAGGTCAGTAATACCTTATCACTAATTGTACCATTATTTATTAGCTCCACTATCATTCAATAAGAATCTATTCCCAGATAAAAACCCACCATAAATGCATGATGTTGCAAGAAGACGAATTCCTCCAATGCTATGGGATCAGCCGGAATCCGGTAACGAAGGAATTCATCACTGTTTTAGATTATGCGCAACAAGGTGACTTGCGCCATTTCTTGCAAAAAAATCATGAGACCCTGAAGTGGGAGGACAGGTTACGTATCGTGACCAAGATTGCCAAAGACTTGAAAGTTATCCATAGCACTGGACTTATCCACGGTGACTTTCACAGTGGAAATGTGCTGCAAGAATCGACAATCCCTAAAGTGTCTGATTTCGGGCTGTCGCGTGTGGATAAAGATCATATCCCAGAAGGTGGCGTCTTTGGGGTTGTTCCTTATATTGCTCCGGAGGTTTTGCGCGGAAATTCATATCGCAAACCTGCAGATGTCTACAGCTATGGAACTATTATGTGGGAAATTTCCTCCGGTAGACCAGCATTCTACGATATTGCGCATGACTATCGACTCATAGCTCAAATTTGTAATGGTACTCGACCCCAAATTATCACGGGTACTCCAAAATGTTATGCTGAACTTATGCAAAGGTGCTGGGATGGAGAGCCGGCAAAGAGACCTACGGCAGAAGAGATTTATGACACTTGTCTTAAATGGTATAATTATGCCAAAGAGCAGAAATCCGATATTTATCAACAATTTGCAAAAGCTGACGCGATAGCAATAACTAGGGATCGGGCAATCCTAAAAAATAATCCTGAGGCTATCTATACTAGTAGACTTATTCACTATGTCACCAAAAAACAGGATTCCTGTAATGATACCAGACAACAGGATCTCTATATTAATACCAGCTTACAGAATCTCTGTAATGATACTAGGCAACAGGATCTCTATTTAAATGACATGACCGAATAATGTCTATCGTGTAAGGGGGAAAGGTTCAGCCATTTTTATATGTTATTTTTCTCGAGTCAATTTGCATCTAACTAATATTTCATTTCTGGTCTCTGATTTAATATTTGGTTTTTCACTTTAGCACGTTTTTCTTTCTTGATTGAGTGTATTTAAGTTTCTTGTAACAATGACCAATTTCTTTTGTCTATTAATAATCGACCCTGTGAAAACGGAGTATACAGTTTTGTTCAAAAAATCTACTAATTAGTTTTAATATGTTTTATGATTAAAGCATACAGAAAAGGTGTTTAATCTACTTTCTGTCGATTTCAGATGTCGCTTTATTCCAAATAAGGAAATGATATTCGTGTAATTCTGCCCAGAGCTGGACAACCTGGCCTACATTATAAATATATGCGGGTCGAACATCTGAGGTACAACATATATATTTTATTTATTTATCCGAACATGTGCTTTTATAAAACAATATTATATACATATTTATAAAACGTGAGAATTTTATCAAAAATTTTATCAATTCCTTTTATTTTTACAATCAAAACTTGTTTTTAGATATAAGTATTTCGATTTATATTTTTTTATAAATAATATATATCATAACACTTTGCAATAAAGGGGGGAAACATATTTTTTATAAATAAAAAAATATATATATTTATCTAATAACTAACAATAATAATATCATTTTTTTTGTGGTCTCTCCTATATAATAAAAATTATTGCATTTAAAGAGTTATGTGCATTACTGAAAAATTTACATTTATTAATTCGGTATAATTACAAATAAAAGATACGTTTTCGCCAGGAAGATGTTGTTCAGCTTCCTTATAAACTTTGTTACTGGATTTTTTCTCTGTGATTTAATCATTATTTAAAATCTCTTGGACTCTAATTTTCATAATAAAACCAAGACCAAATCTCTTTTTGATTGTCATTTCTTATTTTTCAGCGTGATGGCTCTTTGATATAATCGAACTAAGATTTCCGAAGATTGATCAAGTTCGATATCTTCCACTCTCGTCTGCAGCGGGTACAGGTAGGGTACAATTAATAATTCCCGTAATATGCTTACGAGTAAGAACTAAGCTATGAGCTACCTCACAATATTAACACAGAAAAATTAGTTCTGAATAATAAATGATTTAGAAGAAGATCTGTTTCTATTGAAGATACCTTTTCATTGTTCATAACTTCGTGAGAATTCTTAGTTTCGTTATAGTTTGATCGTTAAAATTATCAACATCTGAAGGTATTTCTTCATGGAAGTACTGTACACATCATCATTAACATGGCCGTCTTGGTCTAATAAAATGTGATTTCTAGATCCACGATAACGATAGGCACTATCGCGAACATACGGATTGAGCGCCTAACTGTTTAGTACAACTCAACGAAAGTACCTTTAATTAACCTTTTTTCTTGACCAGGCGTTATCAAGATCGTACCAGATAAATTATCAGAAGATAACCTTTCGGTTCAACTCCAGGAAGTCAAACATTTGACGAAAACTTGGAAGTTAAAGATTGGTTAGTTACTTTTTGAATTTTTATTATAGATTGCAAGCTTTAGATAGAACTTACCGTTGTAACCTGCGTATGTTTCGTGAGTTCTATGTACAGACAACTTTTGTTGAGAACAACAACTTAGAAATCTGTTTCTGATAAATGTTAATTGATAGACATTTCTGTGAAACCCAAATTCGGTATTTTTTTAAAAAAAAAATAAAAACCTTCTCGCGTATTTATATTATTTGCGCATAAGGAACATGTTAATTATTTAAAACTTATTATCAAAATGTTCTTTAAAACTAGGGTGTCCAGAAATATGTGGCGGTGAACCTTAAAATATGTATGTGAAAAAAATGGAATATGTGATAATATGTGTTTATAATTCTGGTAGAAATTATGCGAAATTTACTTTTTAGGTAATATAAAATAATATAAAAATCATTCGCAAAAAAATTGAATTTATTTTAATTTTGATTATAATACAAAAAATTAAGCATTGAAATTGACTTTTCAGAGAAACGCATTCTTCTTTCACTCAAAATATTTTTGTAATTAGAAAAACTGCGCTCTACATCTACTCCAGCTACTGGTAACCAAATATAAATCAATGCTATTTTTGATAAATTTGGTAATGTGAGGCTTTTTTCTTTCCAATAATTATCTAAATCCAATTCTCCTTCTTCTATTATTTCCTCCAATCTACAATAAATGCTTCATTCATCTAATAAAATATTGGTAGGATTTTGAAATTCAATTATTTTAGTATATGATAAAATATTTTGTCTATTAATTTGAATATGAATAAATCGGGAATCAAAACATTGAATATCTCTAAATAAAGGTAATGCTGAATGATGTTGAATGTGTTTATTCCATTTGTCTAAAGCAACTTGATATGCTTGTTTAAAATGAGGTTTAAATTCCACATTATAATAATCACATTTTGCAATTATTTCAGATAAAAGTAGGGGATCATTTGCATCAAATTCTAATGCAACTTGAGTTTGATTTATACGATTGGTAACAAAAGCTGCTAAAGGTTTATTTCTGATTTTAAAAAATTCCAAATCAGAAACAAAACTAAATCAAAATTAAGTTAATTAGTAAATTATATAATATTTTCAATAATTAATTTAAAAATCACTTATCAGTTAGCATTAGATTTAATAAAAAGAACCATAATTTCAAAATTAAAAACTGCTATCCAATCCTAAAATGTTTTTGCTAAATCACGAATTGTTTTGCTATTATTATCCAATTTCTCTTCTTCAAAAAAAATGATACAATATATAGAATGTAATCACTAAGCCAAAATAAAATCTAAACCAACTACACTAACACATTTTTACTGGTAATAGTGATAAGGTAATATTAGGATTAGAAGTATCTAAATTTTCTAGTGAAATTTTCAAAAAAGAAGGTAAAGTAGGATTATTAATAGCATTTGAAGAAAGGTAACTAACCCATCTTCTTTTCTTGCAGAACTATGAATAAAACTACTTTTGATATTTGATGTAATATTATCAAGCAATTGAAAAAAAGGAAAATCTATCCAACATTCTCCAATTAAATTCATAATATGAGCAAGACAATTGTTGTGTTTCATTTGTGGCATAATTGGAGATAAGTTTTAACTATATAACTAGCATTATCAGTAATAAAAAGTAATACATCATTAAAGGAAATTTGGTATTTTTGTAGAGTTGATAAAATTATTTGTGATATTGTGGTATTATTTTGCTACAATAACATATTCAGTAGCAACTAATTTGGTTTGATTTTTGAAAGTAAAAAGTACATTAACTGCTGCCCTTTCACAAGCATCGGTAGTTTCATCTACAATAATACAAATTTTTTCATCTTTTAATATAAAATTTAATTTTTCAATTTCTTGATCATATACTTTTGGTAAAAACTTTTCACGTAGTTGATTAGCACCAACAATTGTTTCACCTAATAAATTTTAAATAAATAATTAATTAATTATGATAAAAAAATTAAAAAAAATAAATATCAATATTGATATGCTAAAACATATCATTTTTACAAAATTTATGAAAAAAAACCTTAATTTGTTAACCTTTTTTAAAGGAATGTCAGCTATAGTAAAAACTTTAATCAATTTCAAATTAAGTTCATCTTTTTCAGCAATTGTATGTTCAAAGGTTTCAAGTGTAATTTGTTATCACAGTGTATTATTTAATTGATTTTTTCATTCTATAATAATTTTATTTTTTTATGCTTATTTGTTTTTAAATATTGATCAACTTTAGATTTATTTCTATAATCAATACTAATGTTGCAAAATTTGTAAAACATAAGAGTGCCACTAGCATACTAGCTATCTTTATAAAGTTGTGTTGAATTTACTCTTTCCATTGCCATTATCATTACAGCGAATACAGCAATGATAATTTTACTTGATGAAATTTAAGGTTATGATCAGCCAATTATATTAGTTGCAGAATATGTGCATGCATATTTTATGTAATTTTCTATAAAATATGTGACACATAACATATGTGAAAAATCTTTAAAATATGCGTATATATTTGTGTCACATATTTCTGGACATCTTATTTAAAACATTGTTCTAATTAAAGTAACACAAAAATAACTATCAAGTTAAATATACTGAATTTTGGTTTTACAGAAATGTCTATCAAGAAGTATACCACAAGTCCATCAAGATTAATACTTTTGCATCAATGAAAAATAAATGTTCAAATGCATGTAATAGTTCATGTAGCTGAAAAAAAATGTTTATTAATTTGAATATTTATTACTATATAATTAAAATATAACACTTAACGTTAACAGTCCATTCAATATTTATTGAAGAAATGTAAAAGGATTTAGTCTACAACATTGAACATGAACTCAATTCATTCAATATAAAATTTGTGGAAAAATTATGCTTAATAATTTGTAATTCATAAGAGTTACAAAAATAAAAAAATTGATCATAAGTAAAGGTTATATCATTATCTTTCATAAGTTGACTAAATCAATTTTTTTCCCATCTATTATAACAGGTTTTATAAATTAGAAAATGGTAAATTCAGAACAAATGTAAAAAAAGATCAAAGATCATTATATTGATATGTATTACCACTTATTTACAACTAATGGAAAAAAAAACTGGCTAATTGATTTTATAAATTTTAGTAAGTATTAAACACAAACTTATATAACTAATCATTATACTCCTATTACTTAAAATTTTTCTAACTTCTAGTTCTTCTTTGTTTAAACTTTATAAATGTTTTTCTATCTTATCTTGTGCATATTAGGATATTATAAATATAATTATAAGTATGATATTAAATTGTCTTAATTTATTTATTGTTTTAATAATTTCAACCTCAGCATCCTTTCATATAAGAATCATTTTGTATAAGAAGTATATTGAGGATAAAAGTAATAACAGATAGATATTTGGGTAAAATTGCCAAAAAAATTTATTTGATAATTATTATTATTCATATAATG